GCGTCGGAGGCATGTATACGATCATCGTATATTCATATGTTCATGCCTGAACACTCGTAATCTTAAAATATTGCAACCTTTTTATATAATATACACATACAAGGAAAGTAAATGTCAATGCTAAATATTATTATTTAAAGTATATTGAATATAGCCTTGAATCATTTTAAGCAACTCTTAATATCAGTTTTTCATATAAACATATATAATAATTACAGTGTAGCAGTGGTCGTGCCTCTAGGACATGGGATTGATAAGTGCTCTTCCATCTTAAGACTCACATTGTCTTAGCACCCTTGTTAGCTGGAATCCGTATACAAGAAGTTACCCGTAAGCCCTTCCTGGGCGTAACCACAAAATGTGCATTTCCCGGCAGTCACACACTGATTGCAATAAGTGTGCGTGCGTGCGTGTGTGTGTGTGTGTGTCTGGGTGTGTGTGGGTGTGGCTTCTGCTAATATCCTTGTTAATATTATTAAACATTATTTATGGATTTGTTTAATTTGTATTTAGTAACGCTTCGCATGCCAGCACCTTCCTGCCTTAGCCAGCAGCTGCCTCTACCGTTGCCTCTACCATTGCCTCTACCGTTGCGCAAAACTTAAGATCCCTGCCTGTGGTCGACTGCCTGGCAACTGGTGTTGCCTGCTGCAGTGCCGCCAGCTGGGCCAACTGTCCGCATATCCTTGCCTTGGCGTCGCTGCTGTTGTTTGTTTTCCTTTAGCGCACGTCTTAGCCCGCCATTGGTGCTTACTGTCGCGCCTTTGCCGATGTCCTGGTGGAACAATTACATGGTTTTGCCTAATGAATTTATCTGCTCATCAGCATCTCCAGCTCTCCAGCTCTCTGACTCTCTGTGTGCGTGAATCCTTGCCAGCTGTGGGTGGGGAGGGTAGCCAGAGTACATTTTATGTAGATTTCCTAACACAAATTATGTTCATTTGCCCGGCGTTGCACGTTCCTATCCCAGCAGCAGCAGCAGCAGCAGCAGCAGGAGAAGACGCAGAGCTGCCTCCAAACTGAGTGAGAACTTTATGAAAAACCCGTTCTATGTTGACTTCATAGTCTGAGTAGCTGCAATATACCCACATACATATACAGTATATATATACATAACCCTGTCTGTTTGTATGTGCTAGTAGCCAGATGTTTCCGCTGAAAATTAGTGTTCATAAGTTTTAGAGATGGTAATGTATTCAAAATTATGGAAACTAGGCTTCAAAACAATTAATGTATTTCACATAAAATTCGAAAAAATGTCCAATACATTATTATTATATGAGAGTTAATTTGAGAGTGCAAAATATATTCCAAAATGTATTTAAATTTAGGCACTGAAAATATTTTTCAAGATTTATAACTAGATATAAAAATATATATGTATGTCTATATGTAAATATAAAAAAATGCAAGTTTATTTTTGCAACGTGAGTCTATTTTTATGATTCACTTTTTATTTAATATACTCGTATATAAAATTGTAACTATATATTATAAGAAATTAAATAAAAATATTTTGAAGGAAATATACTTGTATATAAATATTTATTTCTATAAATATATATAAAATTATACTTAGGAAATATATTTGTTTTATTTATTGTTTTATTTTTAATTCTTCATTCATTTGAATACCACAAAATATAGTATTTGTAGTTTTCATTGGATGTTTTTTGTTTATTATTTTTATTTATTATATTGTATATTCGATTTTTGTCAGCTCGAAGAATCCCGTTTTTGTTCAGGAGCACTGAACAAATTTTTCTCTATTTTTTTTTTAATTTTAAGTTTTATTTTTAGTATTATAATACTTCTTGTATTATTATTATAATTTATTTAATATTATAATTTTTTTTTAACGTGACACGCTTGATATTATTGTGCCCAAAGTTCCAGCTCTAGCAGAGACAACACACAGAAATTTGAGTTTGATCGGGGAACAATTTTATTAGAAACTTAATCGTGATTTGTGGGCAGTTTTGTTGCTCGAGCAACGAATTAATTTATAGATTAAGTTTGCATATGCAAATAATGAAAATGAGTTCGCATTCTGGTGAACCGAATCGAAGCAGCACACCATAATATATACCTAAATGTATTTTATTTATATATTTTGTTCTATATTATTCATCGTCGTCGTTGCTGTCGAAGCGCTCGTTGGTCAGTAAAATAGCATCGTTTAGATAATGGTATATAACAATCAGAGCAATAATCAGAATTTGAAGCAGTAGCAGCTGCAAGAGAAGGTCATATGGCCAATAAAATATTTCTGTTATAGCTCATTTCCATATTTACCAGAATGAAGTTGGCCAAATCAAAGCGCCAAAAGGACAAGAATTTGAAGCGAAAAGCGTCTGATAGAATATCGCGCATATTCTTGACAACGCGACGCATGGGCTTGGCCAGAGCAGAGCTCTGAGCCAGTCTTTCGCTGAGACACGTCCAGAAACGAAGGCGCTAGAAGTGAGTATGTATTAAGAGTCAACACCATGGGCATCAGTCCAATACTCACCTGTTGCTCCAGCAGCGTTTGGGCCAGCAGCAGGCAGGCATAGTCGCAGCCAATGCAGGCGTAGATGCAGGCGTTGCCCGCATAGAAGACGCGCTGCTGGCGATCGCTGAAGAGGATGTGCCAGGTGCTGCTGTAGTAGACGTAGCTGTAGAAGCCGAAGAGCAGGCAATGGGCATTGAAGCCCAGGAGCAGCAGCAGCGAGTGTTGCATGGACTCGAAGAAGTCGCTGAAGTGCTTGGCCAGCAGCTGCAGCTGCTCGCACTGGCTCAGCAGGTTGTCCAGGTGGGTGGGCGCTGCGGCTGGATCTGGGGCATTGCTGCCACCGGCCACCAGCTGCAGCTCGGTGCGCACCTGGCTCAGGGTCAGCAGCTCGTCCACGTCCGTTTGCAGCTGCGCCAAGCGCTCACGCGTCAGCCAGGCGAAGATGTTGTAGAAGCGCAGGGCGCCAGCGAGCACCAGATGGGGGAGGAAGAGCGCGGCTCCGATCATAATGTCCTTGAGCGGCGGTAGCTTGAAGTCCATTTCGTAGCCAATGTACAGGCCAAAGCTGAACAGCACGACGAACGTGGAGCCGAGCAGGCCGTAGGCAATCAGTTCCTTCACCACAGAGCGACGGCCTGAAAAGCTCGTCATGGGCAACGACACGGTCAGCTCGTTGGCCACGCCCACAGCGCGCACAGAGGCGTAGACGGCATAGCTGAACACCTTGACGCTGAGCAGCAGCTGCAGGCGCGTCAATCCGGACAGAAACGGGGAGACGTCGAGCAGCGTCTTCAGCACCGCCGAGCTCTGAAAATGCTGAGCGAAGCAGGCGGCATAGATGCAGGCCAGCACGAAGACGTTGACCACACCTGGCAGCGATATGCGATAGCGCTGCTGCTTGGAGTCGAACCAGTGCATCTGGTAGCCCGTGAGCAGGAGCAGCACATTGGCGGATCGCAGCACGCGCAGATTATTCATGCCAGAGCAGTTCAGCGTAACCAAACCCGAGCAGAGCGAACCTTTGACTGGCTTTGGCTGGTGTGCCTCATGACACAATTTCAGGTCTTATCTCTGCAGCCAACTGTGACAAATATCCCAAAATGTTCAAACACAACAATGGAACACAAGTGAAGCGTCAAGCGTCGCTCAAGCTCAATCATCACGAGCTTGTCTATGTATGGACTACTGTAGTGGGAATCTACTTTGGAGTATTTACATGTGTGGCTATTTATAAATACGAAATATCATCATGATCAGGCATTTAAAGCGTACTGAGAGAAATTATATTTTAATTACTGAGGCTTTTTACATAGGCAGTTAAAAATATTATTACCATTAGCATTACTATTCAGGCATAGCCAAAGACTATAGCTTTGCTTGTTTGCAATCTGTATTTTAGTATTTGTCAAGTCAATGTAAACAAAATTATTTTGATGCTGAATTCTAAATGTGATTTCAGCAATTACTTTATAGGCCGTGTATGTATGTATATATTTATAAAAATAATGGTAAATTAATTTATATGAAATTTTCTGAGAAGTTTTTGTAGAAGAAAAAATCAGGCCTAAGAAAAATATTTTTCAAGAAATATATAATTGATCTATAAGGAATGCGAGTTAAATGAAAATCTGATAATACAAAATGCAAAAAAAAAAAAAAAATATATATATATATATATATTAATTTGATTGTCATTATATACTTAACATTTTTATTTAAATTAAATTGTTTCCAATTCAATGACAAACACAAACTGTATCAGATATGCTAAACAAATCTTGGGCAATGCAAATAGATATGATGCGCTGCTGATGATTACTTAAGTGAAGAGCCAAGTAGCTCTAAGGGCGGCGACTTGAATGAGAATTGCGTATAAAATGCCGTTGTTTGGCCGTGGAGTCAACAGGTTAAGCGAATGCCCTAAGAAAAGTCGTAAAGTTTCGGCAAAAAACAAAGAATCAACGGCAGCTCAGTAGAGGCGCAGCTGCAGCTGGGGCTGGTAGAAATTTCACATATTCCTAATTAGAGCGTGGATGCAGCATGTCGAGTGCGGCATTGCTCAACATCAAACGCCTCGAGCTGGGCGTCCGTGAGCAAAGCCAAACAGTCGGCTAATGGGAATAGAACGCGCCTCCGCGAAGTCTGTCAACAGCAGATAGCGAAGGCTCTGATACAGCTACCTATTGTGGACTCAGACACCAATTCAGTTTCAGTTTCAGGTGTGTGTGTGTGTGTGTGGGAGTGTGGGTGTGGCTGCAGGTGCTGCGCGAGTGTCAACACAGAAATTGGAAACAATTATAAAAGGCAGCGCC